CTGGCTTAGACAGTCATATGGGATCCTTTTGTTGTAATTTAAATAGATCCTTTCAGGAAAACAATATTCTACCTTTCCATTCCTCTGAGCTGCAGTGAACAGCTTCCTCTGTGTCTCTTTTCGGAAATATTTGGCTTTCTTAGGATTTTCAGTAGCCGAGTACAGCCGGCCAAACTTCAAAAACTAGGCCAAGTCACGCTTCAGTGACACTTCCACAAGGTTTGTGATCCTCCAATGCGAACGGAACTGGAACTGCATGAACCCGAAAATATAAAAACTCATCCATTTGTTCCCTCCTCAGATCCTCTGACCATGTACAAATTCATCCGAGAGGAGGAAAAGTTTAATATATGAAGCAAGTCTTCCATGTGACTGCATTTTAATACTCTCCTAATCATGTTTTGGCGTTTTTAGAAAGCAGCTGTATTTACAGACTTGCAATTGTTTTCCCCGCACGTTTGAAAATGCCATCCACATGACAATTTTTCAGGTATAATTTTAGCAGCAGGACCGGGACAAGGGGTGGGCAGGAGGAGCAACTGCCCTGGGTGCAGCAGTAGGGGGGCACCCCCTCACAACACACATGCTCCAGATCAGTCGCTGGCAGCCAGTGGGCTTCATCTCTACGGAGGTCATAAAAACACCCCAAACTTGTGCAACTAAAACTACAGACTGGCCACACATCTGCAGTGCACCTTCCATGCCAACCATCGCAAGCTGGGGTGAGGGGTAGAAATATATATATATATATACACACACACACACACACACACACACACACACATATACATACACACACACATATACATACAGTTGTGTTCAAAATAATAGCAGTCAGACATCACTAACCGGATCAATCACTGTTTTTGGTAGAAATGATATTTCTACATGGCAAATAATTTACTAGCAGGTGTAGTAGAGTAATAGAAATCCAACAGACCCAACAGTCATGACATGCATGCTGCTGATTCTGTGTCATTGAATCACTCATTGAAAGTGACATGTTCAAAATAATAGCAGTGTGGAGTTGTATTAGTGAGGTCATTCATTCTTTGAAAAACAGGTGGCAATTATTGCCCTTATTTAAGGAAGGAAGGCAGCAAATGTTGTACATGCTGGTTACAGTGCATTTCTCTCTGAAATTCTGAGGAAAATGGGTCGTTCCAGACATTGTTCAGAAGAACAGCGTACCTTGATTAAAAAGTTGATTGGAGAGGGGAAAACATATAAAGAAGTGATGGCTGCTCAGCTAAAATGATTGGCAAATGCTTTAAAATGGCATCCAAAACCTGAAAGACGTGGAAGAAAGCAAAAAACTACCATTGGAATGGATAGAAGAATAGCCAAAATGGCGCGGACTCAGCCAACAATCAGCTCCAGGAAGATGAAAGAAGGTGTGACGTTCCCTGTGAGGACTGTTACAATTAGAAGATGCCTATGTGAAGCCAAGCTATCTGCAAGAAGCCCCCGCAAAGTCCCACTGTTGGGAAAAAGACGTGCTGAAGAAGTAACAATTTGCCAAAGAGCACATTGACTGGCCTAAAGAGAAATGGCGCAATATTTTGTGGACTGATGAAAGTAAGATTGTTCTTTTTGGGTCTAGTGGGCGGAGACAGTTTGTCAGACGACCCCCAAACACTGAATTCAAGCCACAGTACACTGTGAAGACAGTGAAGCATGGTGGTGCAAGCATCATGATATGGGGATGTTTCTCATACTACGGTGTTGGGCCTATTTATCACATACCAGGGATCATGGATCAGTTTGAATCCATCAGAATACTTGAAGAGGTCATGCTGCCTTATGCTGAAGAGGAAATGCCCTTGAAATGGGTGTTCCAACAAGACAACGACCCCAAACACACCAGTAAACGTGCAACATCTTGGTTCCAGACCAACAAGATGGACGTTATGGAGTGGCCAGCCCAATCCCCGGATCTTAATCAAATAGAAAACTTGTGGGGTGACATCCAAAATGCCGTTTGAGGCAAAACCAAGAAATAAAGAAGAACTGTGGAATGTGGTCCAATCATCCTGGGCTGGAATACCTGATCACAGGGGCCAGAAGTTGGTTGACTCCATGCAACACAGATGTACAGCAGTTCTCAGAAACAGTGCGACTACAACCAAATATTCATGAAGTCATTCAAAGGAAAGCAAAATCTTCAAACATTTCTCAGTTTATATAGTGAATGTTTGACTTTGTAAAGAAGAATACAAACACTGCAATTTTTTTGAACCGTCTAATATTCACTTTTCTTCAATTTTATTTAGAGGAACAACACAAATTTGATGTATTTATCTTCATGTTTTGATTTGGAATAGAATGTGTTGTGTTCCCAATGTATTTGTGTGGATGGAAATAAAAGCTATTAGAAGGATTTTCAGCTTTATTCACTTTTTTCAACACACTGCTATTATTTTGAACACAACTGTTTATATATTTATATATATATATATATTTTTTTTTTTAAAGGGAGGAGCAGCTTCCTGTCGTAAAGACTGCTCGCTGCTGCTCTCTCTCCTTGTGCAGGGTGACTGGTCCCGTCTCCGCCCCCTCCTGTAGTCTTCTGTAGTGGGTGGAGCCTGCTCGGCTTCTCCCACAGCTCTGCTCTCTGCACAGGCTACGTATAGCGGAGTGATGATATTATTACTATTTTTACAAAAGTATTATCTGGGTTTCAAAAGCATTTATTGTACAGGAAGTGGATTAATATCCTAACCCAGAAAACCTCTAAATACATCCCCTCCCCCCCTCAAGAGCTGAATCGTGGTAGGTCCCACAACTCATACCTCTTCCGATCAGATGTTGAAAAGTGAGAACTTCCAAAGTTCCCGTTACCCTCCCGGCTGAGTTGCTTGCTGCGGCATGAAAGGAATCTGTTTCTGAGGCTTTGCAGAAAAATCCCGTGAGCTTAAAAATCGTTCACTTCAAGGCTATGGCACCAAAGAGGGAAAAGTGAAGGGGGGGTGAATATTTTTGCAGCAATGAGTTCTTGCTTGTGCACTTTCTTGGAAGTGTAGATCAAGGAATCCCCAAGGCAGTGGAGTTCAGTAGAGGTGAGTGGGACTCGGAAATGACATGGGAAGTCGGTGTTCCTGGATGACGCCGGGGGAGGGGGGGGCTGCGATGAATGGCTCATTAGTACAACTCAAGACGCGTGCGGCGCAATAAACAAAGCCGCGTCCTGCAGCTTGGAAATTACCAAGGAAAACGCTTCTTTGTGACCTCTTGGGGACACGCAGCCTCTGTGTGAATTTAAATATTTATCTTTTCTTTAAATAATTCATCCGCTCCGTTTAATAATTCAGAGTAAACAGCGCGGTGAAATGTTACTCAAGTACAGCCGTCTGTGGAATAGGCCTCCCCGCTGCTTCTCTCACTCCGCTACAAAGCCGCGCGTCAGACAGCCGGCGTCCGCGGCACGAGATCGCAGGGGGAAGGATGCGTCTTAAAGGGCTCCTCCGATCCATTCTCATACTTCTCAATGATTAAAGCATAAAAAGGCGCCGTTTATTGTGGGATACAGAACTTTATATATAGTTACATAGTTAGTCTGGCTGAAAAAAGACAAAAGTCCATCCAGTTCAACCATTAAAAAAAAAGAGAGAGAGAGATGATATCATCAGTCTGCAAGCGGGAACATTTTCTCAGTCTCCTATCCCCTGATCAGACTGTGACATTGTAACTTTGTACAAGGTGAGAGGCTGCAGCAGGGGGGGGGGCCGATTGGTGTCAGACATTTGTGTACACAGACAAGAACTACACATACACCAGGATTGTGTCATCTCTGAGCCGACATAGTTACATAGTTAGTCTGGCTGAAAAAAGACAAAAGTCCATCCAGTTCAACCATAAAAAAAAAAAGTTATAATCCTACACCCACAGTTGATCCAGAGGAAGGCAAAAAAAAACCAGCAAAGCACGATCCAATGTGCGCCTGCTGGGAAAAAAAATCCTTCCTGATCCCCCGAGAGGCAATCGGATATTCCCTGGATCAACGAAATGCTATCACTCACCTAGTGCTCACCTTCCTACTGCAGCAGGTTCTATTATAAAATTTTGCAAACAGGTACATTTCCTCCTTCACTGATGTGCGTTGATGAGGCTGCAATGATAGGCAGCACTGATGAGGCGGCATTGGTGGGAATTGATGAGTAAGCACTGATGATGCTGCACTGATATGCCGCACTGATGGGCAAGGATAGGCGGTACTGATGGGCAAGGATAGGCGGCAATGATGGGCACTTGACAGGCGACATTGACGGGTAGCACTGACGGGCACAGCTGGGCGCCACTTCTGGGCACTTTTGGGGAGACACTGATCAATGCAGATGTCCTCGGTGACACTTGCTGGTGATCAGCAGTACTTTCCTCATGCTGTGACAGTGTGAGGAAAGTGCTGCCGATAACCGGCAACTGTATGTACTTTGTGATCTGCTGTGTCATTGGACCCAGCTGATCACGTGGTAAAAGGCAGCTGTGATTTGCCTTTTACCTTGTCATGTGATCAGCTGTGTCCGCAGGACACAGCAATCACAAACAGCGCCAGGTGCGCTCCGCTGGGGGCGCACGTTCTGCGAGGACGTCATATGACGCCCTCCCAGAACTAGATAACCGCGCTGTAGCCGTCATTTGGCTATAGCACGGTTGTAAAGTTAAGGGCCGGGTTCACACTATAGAAATGCAGTCCAAATGTGTTCCAGATGCGTTCTGTATGTGCATTTTTGGCACGTTCTGGTGCGGTTTTGATGCTTCCCATCTCTTTTTCTTCAATTTAAATAGGGGCATGTGCATTTCAGTGCATTTTACCGCGTTCCAGTACAGTTCTGTGCAGGAAAAATGCAGCCTGTTCTACTGCATCCGGAACGCACTGGAACTGCATGCACTGATGTAAACTATGACATTAATAACCATATATCCTACTTTCTGTTCTGGATGCAGAAAAAAAAGCAACTGAAATGCATGTAGTGTGAGCTGGCCCTAAAAGTGTTACTAAACCCCGGACCCTGCATTCACTATATCTGGTCTCCCCGGACCCTGCATTCACTATATCTGGTCTCCCCTGACCCTGCATTCACTATATCCGCTCTCCACGGACCCTGCATTCGATATATCCGCGCTCCCCGGACCCGACCCTATACCCAGACCCGACATTCACTATATCCGCTCTCCCCGGACCCTGCATTCACTATATCCGCTCCCCCCGGACCCTGCATTCACTATATCCGCTCCCCCCGGACCCTGCATTCACTATATCCACTCTCCCCCAACCCGGCATTCACTCTATCTGGCCTCCCCGGAGCCTGCATTTACTATATCTGCTCTCCCCGGACCCTGCCTTCACTCTCCCCAGAATCTGCATTCTCTATATCCGCTCTCCCCGGACCCCGCATTCACTATATCCGCTCTCGCCGGACCCCGCATTCACTATATCCGCTCTCCCCGGACCCCACATTCACTATATCCGCTCTCCCCGGACCCTGCATTCACTATACCCAGTCTCCCCGGACGCTGCATTCACTATATCTGCTTTTTCCGGATCCTGCCACTATATCCGCTCTCCCCCCGGACCCTGCATTCACTATATCTAGTCTCCCCGGACCCTGCATTCACTATATCTTTAGTCTCCCTGGACCCTGCATTCACTATATCCCAGTCTCCCCGGACCCTGCATTCACTATATCTGCTTTTTCCGGATCCTGCATTCACTATATCCGCTCTCCCCGGACCCTGCATTCACTATATCAGCTCTCGCTGGACCCTGCATTCACTATATCCGCTCTCCCCAGACCCCGCATTCACTAAATCCGCTCTCCCCGGACCCCGCATTCACTATATCCGCTCTCGCCGGACCCCGCATTCCCTATATCCACTCTCCCTGGACCCCGCATTCACTATATCCACTCTCCCCGGACCCCGCATTCACTATATCCGCTCTCCCCGGACCCCGCATTCACTATATCCGCTCTCCCCGGACCCCTCATTCACTATATCCGCTCTCCCCGGACCCCTCATTCACTATATCCGCTCTCCCCCGGACCCCTCATTCACTATATCCGCTCTCCCCGGACCCTGCATTCACTATATCCGCTCTCCCCGGACCCTGCATTCACTATATCCGCTCTCCCCGGACCCCGCATTCACTATATCCGCTCTCCCCCCCCCGACCCTGCATTCACTATATCCACTCTCCCCGGACCCTGCATTCACTATATCCGCTCTCCCCCGGACCCCACATTCACTATACCCTACTTTCTGTGCATTCTGGATATAGAAAAAAAGCACACTGAAGAGCATGTAGTGTGAACTGGCCCAAAATCAGCCAACAAAACAAGTTATTTGCATTTGGATTCTCCCCTCCCTGCCCCACAATTAGATTTTTAAAAAAAGGACCCTTTCTCTATGTGCCAAAAATTCCCCCACTGGATTTTTAAAGATGTTGAGAGGACGGCCCCCACTATAGAGACTGAAGCTGCTCTTTACTAATATTCAGTTTTGCTGGGATTTGTACACAACGAATGAACATGCAGTTTCATAGCACGAATAACTCTGCAGTTTTTTTAATAAATGCCCCCATAATATTCCACATATGCAATAAATGATCGTCACAGAGTGCAGATGTGCAATTAAAAGAGGGGAGTGGGAAGAATAGCGCCTCATACATGGTGTCAGTTGGTGGAATAATGCCCCATAGGCCAAGTGCAAGTTTGGAGTTGGGTTTGAGTTGAGTTGAGTTCGGAGGATGCCCGAGCTCCTCTCTAGTGGCTTGGGATGGCAAAGGTCTGCTTTAACCACTTCAAGTCCAGACACTTTCGCCCCCCTCCAGCCCAGGCCAATTTTCAGATTTCAGCGCTATCACACTTTGAGTGACATTTACTCAGTCATGCAACACTGTAGCCATATGAAATTTGTATCCTTTTTTTGACACAGATGGAGCTTTCTTTTGGTGGTATGTGGTCACCACAGTTTTTTGGGTTTTTTTTTGCTATATAAAAAAAATAATACTGAAAATTTAAAAAAAAAAAAAATCATTTTTTGATTTTGTTTTTGTTATAAAATTTCTTCATAAATTTAGGCCAAAATGTATTCTGCTACATTTTTGGGGTAAAAATAGCCCAAAACAGTGTATATTATATATTTAGTCAGGACGCTGTGTGAAAGCTATAGGTCTACAAACTAGGGGATATATTTGGTATGGCTATGACGTATGGCAGTGTTCAGGGCGCTGGTATGGAGTATGGCGGTGATCAGGACGCTGGGTATGGGGTATGGCGGTGATCAGGACGCTGGTATGGGGTATGGCGGTGATCAGGACGCTGGTATGGGGTATGGCGGTGATCAGGACGCTGGTATGGGGTATGGCGGTGATCAGGATGCTGGTATGGGGTATGGCGGTGATCAGGACGCTGGTATGGGGTATGGCGGTGATCAGGACGCTGGTATGGGGTATGGCGGTGATCAGGACGCTGGTATGGGGTATGGCGGTGATCAGGACACTGGTATGGGGTATGGCGGTGATCAGGACGCTGGTATGGGGTATGGCGGTGATCAGGACACTGGTATGGGGTATGGCGGTGATCAGGACACTGGTATGGGGTATGGGCGGTGATCAGGACACTGGTATGGCGGTGATAAGGACACTGGTATGGCAGTGATAAGGACACAGGTATGAGGTATGGCGGCGATCAGGACACTGGTATGGGGTATGGCGGGGGATCAGGACACTGGTATGGCGTGATAAGGATGTTGGTATGGCGGTGGTAAGGACGCTGATATGGCGGTGATAAGGACGCTGGTATATGGCGGTGATAAGGACGCTGATATGGCGGTGATAAGGACGCTGGTATGGCGGTGATAAGGACGCTGGTATGGGGTATGGCAGTGATAAGGACACAGGTATGAGGTATGGCGGCGATCAGGACACTGGTATGGGGTATGGCGGTGATCAGGACACTGGTATGGCGGTGATAAGGATGTTGGTATGGCGGTGATCAGGGACACTGGTAAGGACGCTGATATGGCGGTGATAAGGACGCTGATATGGCGGTGATAAGGACGCTGATATGGCGGTGATAAGGACGCTGGTATGGCGGTGATAAGGACGCTGGTATGGCGGTGATAAGGATGCTGGTATGGCGGTGATAAGGACGGGTATGGGGTATGGTGATAAGGACGCTGGTATGGTATGGGTGATCAGGACGCTGGTATGGGGTATGGCGGGGATCAGGACGCTGGTATGGGGTATGGCGGGGATCAGGACGCTGGTATGGGGTATGGCGGGGATCAGGACGCTGGTATGGGGTACGGCGGGGATCAGGACGCTGGTATGGGGTACGGCGGGGATCAGGACGCTGGTATGGGGTACGGCGGGGATCAGGACGCTGGTATGGGGTACGGCGGGGATCAGGACGCTGGTATGGGGTACGGCGGGGATCAGGACGCTGGTATGGGGTACGGCAGGGATCAGGACGCTGGTATGGGGTATGGCGGAAATTAGGACGCTGGTATGGGGTACGGTGGGGATCAGGACGCTGGTATGGGGTATGGCGGTGATCAGGATGCTGGTATGGGGTATGGCGGTGATCAGGACGCTGGTATGGGGTATGGCGGGGATCAGGACGCTGGTATGGGGTACGGCGGGGATCAGGACGCTGGTATGGGGTACGGCGGGGATCAGGACGCTGGTATGGGGTACGGCGGGGATCAGGACGCTGGTATGGGGTACGGTGGGGATCAGGACGCTGGTATGGGGTATGGCGGTGATCAGGATGCTGGTATGGGGTATGGCGGTGATCAGGACGCTGGTATGGGGTATGGCGGTGATCAGGACGCTGGTATGGCATATGGAAGTGATCAGGATGCTGGTATGGCATATGGAAGTGATCAGGATGCTGGTATGGCTGTAGTCTGCATGTTCTCCCTGTGCCTGCGTGAGTTTCCTCCGGGTACTCCGGTTTCCTCCCACACTCCAAAGACATGCTGGTAGGTTAATTGGCTCCTGTCTAAATTGTCCCTAGTATGTGTATGTATGAATGTGAGCTAGGGACTTTAGATTGTACACCCCTTGAGGGTTAGGGACTGATGTGAATGTACAATATATATGTAAAGCACGGCATATATTGACGGCGCTATAAAAGTACCTGAAATAAATAATTAATGAGGGAAGAGATTTGTACAAGTACCTTGATGTGCTTCACTCCACAACTGACCAGCTTATTGGGTTGGTAGAGATCCCAGGAGATGTCAAAGATCTGAAATAATAATGATACAAATGATTACACAGCAGCCATGTAAAGGATACATTGTTACAGTTACTTTGTACAAAACAAACTTCAGATTTCCGCAGACAGCAGGAATCCGATTCACATTACTGGTGATCAACGAGGAAGCCGATCCTCAGAGCCCACAGCAGCTGTGCAAGCTCTGGTTTTTAAAGGGACACTGCCATCTTCTGTGTACTGACAATGAAATGGTATTTTGTATCTTTTTTTTGTGTGTTAAATGTATGATGGATGGAAACATTTTCTTTTTATTATTTATACCTGTTGACCACTTCCAGTCCGGACACTTTCCCCCCCTTCCAGTCCGGACACTTTCCCCCCCTTCCAGTCCGGACACTTTCACCCCCTTCCAGTCCAGACACTTTCACACCCCCTTCCAGTCCGGACACTTTCCCCCCCTTCCAGTCCAGACACTTTCCCCCCCTTCCAGTCCGGACACTTTCCCCCCCTTCCAGTCTGGACACTTTCACCCCCTTCCAGTCCAATCACTTTCACCCCCTTCCAGTCCGGACACTTTCCCCCCCTTCCAGTCCGGACACTTTCCCCCCCTTCCAGTCCGGACACTTTCACCCCCTTCCAGTCCGGACACTTTCCCCCCCTTCCAGTCCGGACACTTTCCCCCCCTTCCAGTCCGGACACTTTCCCCCCTTCCAGTCCGGACACTTTCCCCCCTTCCAGTCCGGACACTTTCCCCCCTTCCAGTCTGGACACTTTCCCCCCCTTCCAGTCCAATCACTTTCACCCCCTTCCAGTCCGGACACTTTCTCCCCCTTCCAGTCCGGACACTTTCCCCCCCCCCCTTCCAGTCCGGACACTTTCCCCCCCTTCCAGTCCGGACACTTTCACCCCCTTCCAGTCCGGACACTTTCACACCCCCTTCCAGTCCGGACACTTTCCCCCCTTCCAGTCCGGACACTTTCACCCCCTTCCAGTCCGGACACTTTCACCCCCTTCCTGTCCAGACACTTTCCCCCCCTTCCAGTCCGGACACTTTCCCCCCCTTCCAGTCTGGACACTTTCACCCCCTTCCAGTCCAATCACTTTCACCCCCTTCCAGTCCGGACACTTTCCCCCCCTTCCAGTCCGGACACTTTCCCCCCCTTCCAGTCCGGACACTTTCACCCCCTTCCAGTCCGGACACTTTCCCCCCCTTCCAGTCCGGACACTTTCCCCCCCTTCCAGTCCGGACACTTTCCCCCCTTCCAGTCCGGACACTTTCCCCCCTTCCAGTCCGGACACTTTCCCCCCCTTCCAGTCTGGACACTTTCCCCCCCTTCCAGTCCAATCACTTTCACCCCCTTCCAGTCCGGACACTTTCTCCCCCTTCCAGTCCGGACACTTTCCCCCCCTTCCAGTCCGGACACTTTCCCCCCCTTCCAGTCCGGACACTTTCACCCCCTTCCAGTCCGGACACTTTCACCCCCTTCCAGTCCGGACACTTTCCCCCCTTCCAGTCCGGACACTTTCACCCCCTTCCAGTCCGGACACTTTCACCCCCTTCCTGTCCAGGCCAATTTTTAGCTTTCAGAGCTGTCATGCTTTGAATGACAATTGCGCGGTCATGCAACTCTATACCCATATGAATTTTTTAGCATTTTTTTGAGACAGATAAAACTTTATTTTGGTGGTATTTATTCACACCTGGGGATTTTTTTTTGCCATATAAATGAAAAAGTCCAAACATTTTGAAAAAATTTGTTTTTCGTATAACATTTTGCAAATAAATACATTTTGGCTAATATTTATGAAGAAAGATTATTCAGTTATCTTTTCAGTAAAAAAAAATAATAACCCAATTTAGTTTATAACCAAAAACATTACATTTTTACTTTATTTTTTATATTATTATTTATTTATTTTTACATACTGTCACCCTAGCAGTACAGTGTCACCATGGTGACACTGTATTACTTGTGGGGGGTGATGAAGATTTTTTTTTTTTACACTGATTGCTTTTACACCCATAAACGCTTTATAAGCAATCATTTCTCTTTCTCTCTGGCTGCATTCCTGCAGCCATTGAGAAATACTGTGAGAGCTGTGATTGGTCACAGCTTGTCACATGGTACAAGGCTGTTGTGAATAGCCCAGTACCATGTGACCTCTGTGATCATTCCTTGGTAGCTGGCTCTTGTCTTACTGCCTCTCTGCTTTACTACTGCCTCATTGCTGTGACTCAGGCAGCCTTTCGGTTTTAAAAGGATGAGGTGGCAACCCTACTCGGTCCCCATTCACACCTGAGTGATCTGTAGCTCAAAGCTCCAAAGCGCTTGAGAAGAAAAAAAAAATAAATTATTCTCAATGGAGACGGTTCACATCTCCACTCCAAGTCACCTGAAGCCAAACGCCTGAAGCTCAAACAAGTTCTGGAGCTTTTTTTTTTTTTTAACTCAAATTGGGCAGATTTGCAGTTTTTTGCTGTGATTTTATCCCCACAGAAATAAATAGAAATGCACGATTGCCGCATTTTCCTGTGTGCTAAGCTCATAGGTGCACCACTTCCCCTATCACTGTCTAATTATAGAGTGTCGGTAGGGAGGGGACCTGTAAGTGAAAGTGAAACTGCAACAGAGAGAGAGTATGTCTCCTCCCCTAGACAGGGCTGTGCTGTGTGGCAGAGCTGTGTAAATCTCAGGCCTGGATGGAAAGAAATATAAATCCTTTGGAAGGTAAAACATTTGCCATGTATGCATTTCATCGATTTACACATGGGGTGGACCTGTCAGCGGATCCACTTGCCTTGCCGGGGATCTGTCTGCTGATCACCGCTGAGCAAGGGGATCACTGGTCCATGTGCAGTGTTGACACAGCCTTCTGTCCTCTATGGGTGGTCGGACAGAAAGGGACCGCCTGTCTGTTTCCATCCGACCACCATCTGAGGGACGGAAGGGGAACGGATCCCCGTCTGTTTCCATCCAATCGCCATCTGACGGACGAGAGGGGAACAGATCCCCATCTGTTTCCATCCGACCGCCATCTGAGGGACGGAAGGGGAACGGATCCCCGTCTATTTCCATCCAATCGCCATCTGACATACGGCAGGGGAATGGATCCCCATCTGTCTCTTATTGGCAGATGTCAGTGGGTTTCGATCAGAACGTCTGTGTGAAAGGGGCCTTACCTGTTGACCTGGAGCTCAGCTTTTATTAATCAGAGAGAGCGCCAATAGATCATCTCAAAGCAAAGCAAATTAATTAAACAGAATCTGTCACAAAGCAAAATACCTGTATGATTAGGCTCCGATTGAAGCTGCCATTCACCAATTCATTTACGTATACTAGTTGTGGGTTAGTGAAGTCCACTGTTCTAAGAGTAGCTCATGAGCAGGAGCGGACTGACCATTCGAGCACCCGGGCACTGCCCGAGGGCCCGGAGTCAGTAGGGGGCCCCATGAGATGCCCCTG